TTCTAGGATTTGCACAGCCAACTGCTACCTGCAAAGCAGCAGGGATCTGGGGCAATTGTCTGCTCCCACAGCTTCACAAATGTGTTGTGCCAATCATGTACAAGAGCAGGCCCCCGAATTTCAGGAGAGCTGGAGGAAGTCTACCTATTTCTGCAGTCTGCTCTCACCTTCGACTTCTGCGCATGAAGGCAGGTGCATGGAACGGCCCAAGGAGTAGGGCGATCATTGACCGGCGGAAAAGTTGGTAACTGGTTGCATAAGCTTATTCTCAAAGTGTTCGGCCCAACGCTCTAATCGTCCTGACAAGCTGTGGATTGGCTGTCCACTGTCGCTAACAGCATGTCTCTTTCTGCCCGTTTTCCTTATCAGATGCAATAACTTACGGTGGTTACTAAGACTATCTCCATTTCCGAGGCATGATGTGCTCACCAGGCTTCGTGCTTCTTTTTCTTAGATAGCACTTATTTTCTCCCTGATGTCTTTGAACAATGAACAATAATTTATCACGGAATAAAAGCAAGAGCTTGACAGGTCCACTAGGATGGTTAGAGTGAATACAATGAAATCAACGTATGAGTCATCTGCGGAGCGTCTATAGAGATGGATGCGTTGATACATAACGTCAGTGTAACCTAAAAATCAAGTTTAAGCATGCAGGAATACACGGGGTGCAGTGGTCGTTGATGCAAAGCGTGAGCAAAGTAACATATGGTCGCTTACTTATGCGTCGTCTTCTTGGATCCATGTGACACATACATCCTGTAGAAGGGCATGATTGGAGTAATCCAAAATGGTCTAATTTAGGTATAAAAAAGTGTTAAGAGCTAATAGCAGCATCCAATCGTTTTTTGAAAATATCCAAAGTAGGGAAGTATATAACAGCCTGGGAGCGCGTTTCAGGTTTTTGCCATCCCAATGGAAAAGTAAATCCGTCGACACTCTAGGCGACTATATTGTTCCTTCAATTTTGCGCAGTTATCCCTGAGCTGCTTGTTGTGGCTAAGTTTCAGCAAATGGTGGCATACGTGGTTGGGATCACTCAATATTTGGTACGCTAATATGAGATCCCCGCGCAACCTTCGATAGTGTCCGCTGAAAACTCACAGCAACTTCAGCCTTCGGTGGTAAGTGGGATAGCGCAAGCCGTTTACATTCTTTATTGCTTTTCGTTGTGACGCCTCTAATGCCTCTAGGTCGCGTTTCAACCAAGGTTGCCATGCTTGGGTAGTGTATACAGCGTGTTGGCGCACGTAGAAATTGTGCATCATGGGAAGATTAATGTTTCAAATCTCCCGAATGCCCATCGCAGCATGCCGACGTGCTGGTTTCCTCTTTTCGCAGCTACCTCCGCCTGTTTTGAACACTTGACGTCACTCTGTACGAGCATACCAAGGTCACGTTCCTGGGATCTGGTCTGTAATTGGTGTGCCCCAAACACATGCGTGTAGTCGTGTCTATGGCCTAATTGCACATTGCGACAATTGTCTACGTTGAATGGTCGGGCGTTTTGAACTGACCAATTCCACACCATGTTAAGATCGCACTGGAGCCGTTCGTGGTCGTCCGGTCCTCTGATCATTCGCCATCTTCTGATCTCATCCGCGAAAAATAAGAGATCGGAAGCAATTGATTTCGCCAAATCGGTAATGAACATCAAGAATACACGAGGCCCAAGCACCGATCCTTGTGGTAGACCACAATGCACATCAATTGCATCAGACAATGATTCTCGGACTTTCACCTCCAACCGACGTTCGTGCAGAAAATTGCTTACCCAACTCAGGATTGGTTCGCCAGTGTCATAGTTCCGAAGCTTGTGAAAGAGAATTCGATGGTCTAAGCGGCCAAACGCTTTTGAGAAGTCCACGTAGATGACGTCGACTCCTGCTCCATCATCAACGGCTTCAGTTCAGCTATTATGTGTAATTGGTAGGTTAGTAGTACATGAACGGCTTTGACGGAAGTCTTATTGCTCTGAGGCTATTAATTTGTGACGCTCCAGATACTGCATCGGTGCGCTTGCGATGATTGTGAGTCTCGTTGTGTTCTCCCCCAGCTGGAATGTGTGGGTGATCATCCAAAAGTTTCGGAGCCTGCGTAAAGATCCAATATCCGGGTTGGCGATTTGATTTGCCACATGAAAACATTGCTGCTAATTACGTCTGATGGATATGCGAGCAGTTGATCTCTACCTTGTTCAGTGGGCTTACTCAGGTCAGATCCCGGCGTACTTCGGTAAGGATTCAGAACATCTGTCTTCGCCAGTTGGCAAGTATCTATGCGTTCACAGCGTCGCCACATGCGCCCACCGAAGCGAACCTTAAGATCAGCGCAAAGACTGCATGATGAAAGTCAACCCTCGTGTTCTAAATCGAGCGAACTTTTTGAACGCAGCCTCCAGCTGTCCCTGACCGTGGTATGCTCGATTTGCGTCCGAGGCTGGTGGACGCCATGTCACCCTCTAATGGGTGCTTTAACGAAACTTAGTACTCGCGAGAAATAGACGCACATCACACAAGTGAAGCAATTGCTCACCGTTTACGGAAACCTGCCCCATGATGGCCGCTCAGACGCAGCTCATCAGTGGACAGTTTTCCAATTTGGGCATTCAGATCACCAGGCAGCACAACAGTATCCGTACTTTTCCCGTAACGAAGGAGCTCATCCAGTTAATGATAGAATACATCTTTTTCGGAGTCAGCGCTACAGTTTCTGAGGGCGAGGCCGCAATGGCAACAGGAACCGTTTGTTGCCGCTCGACTTCGAAGCTTCAGTTGAGCTAAACTATCTGACTACACACCTCCGGTTTTTGATTGGGATCCAGTCAACCAGCCTGCGGACTCGGAGCAATGCTCAAACTGGCTTGACCAGTATTTAAAGCTGCGTTATCTCCAAGACAACGCATTGTGAAATAGCCGCTAGTGTCATTTATGGAGGATCACAGGGTAATCACGGCACTCGAATGTTGCATGCGAGTTTCCGATAAGCAGCAAGTGTCGGTCTACAGTGTCTCTAGTGTTCTGGCAGTGCTGCTTGTTGACCTATCTGCAATTAAGTACGCTCGTTGAGGCATGCAAGTCTTCGCAAGGATCGGGGGCTCCAAAGAGAAACGGATTAACTGGCGTTGTCTACTTGTTTGAACATGGACTTGTCGACTAGGTTGGAGCGATTCCACTGGAACACAATGGAGGAGGGCCAAGAATTGACAGGGGGATTAACTACAAGGGATTGAAAGCGATTTTGGAGCGGGACAAGGAGAGTGAATACTAAGGCGGGAAAGCTTTAGCGGTAAGCGTCCTATCCACTCTGCTAGATACAGCTAACAGGGCGCGGTTGATTATCCTCTGCCATAGCCAGAGCATCAAAAGCGATTTGAAATGAGGCCATCATATTGCGTGGACGGGATGCTGTCCGGTTGCGCAAGCCTAGACAGGAGAACGATTAGGGTTCTCAACCAAAACTGGTTCAAAAGCCTGACCGCAAGGCATTGTGGTTTCGGCACTGGGCTACAGGGAGTCCGTTTTATGGAGTTAGGAAGCACCCTCACTTCAATCCCCCAACCTGGAGGTTCAAGAGACTGAGTTGGTATGACCTCTCACCACTGACCAATCCGAAGGTGCACAAAGCACCACCCATCATAGCTCAGTAGATCGCTGAGACACGCAATCCATCGCACAACATTAAGGTTCGATCTCATCATGATGGTTTTCGTAGTTGGGTTAGAGCGACTTAAACCTGCACTTGTCCAGCTGCGCACTCGATCTAACTGAATCGTTATTTTCACATATGCTCATTACTGTTAATTTGTCGCATATTCACTGGTTATTTTGCGCGTTTTTTCCTTGCTTCATTGCTAGATGATTGATATCCCCTGAACCACTTGCCAAGATCACCTTTACACTAGATTGGACACTATACTCTGATCTGTCATTCTGTTGCACTTTTACTATCCAGTTTGCCTGTCTATTTTCCTTCATGTCCTGTGGTTGCTGTTTGATATCCTCGCTGTGGCTGAGCTTGATGTGAATGTTGACAAGGTTCCTGTCTGTCGGAAAATCGCTACCTCGATTTTACTGGCTCCAGGAGACAGCCTGTTGTCGCTTGAGTAGACTGGGTGCACGGTCTTGGTGATCGTGCTAGGCTGGACCACGGCCCAACCACCGCCTTGTTTAAGTCTGGTACGTTTGATTTCCCAATAAGACAGGTAAGGATGCTGCTACTGTACATGTTAAGGCTTCGTAGCCTGGCTCCGTTACTGAAACGGGGCTCCAATACGCATGCCCTGCGGCCTTATTACTGTGGGTTTACACTCGATGTTTGGTGTGTGGATGATTCAGCATAAGCCACACATGGTCCCTCTGTTCGCGCAGACGTTTCGTGGTTTTCCCGATGGAGGTCACAGTAACAGGCGAATCTATGTTCGGCTGCCGCAAACCATATGCATGCTATGATATAAATTTCTTCTTTAGTCCATTGATTCTTGTCTTGATATTCAAATTGCTACCAGATATCCGCTGTTGGATCAAGTAACCTACGTTTCGGCGTTTTAACTGGATATCACACCTACCTAACCTATGCACTTTGTCTGCACAAAAGGGGTGTCATTGGAACGGCTGCAATTGAAGAGAGCGAAGGGTTCTGGAGTAGTGCGGAGGGCAGTCGAAGCTTAGGCTTGTTTTACACGTTTTACATTCATGATAGCTGTCGATAATACACCGGACTGTGTTAAATATTCCAATGATAATAACAATAGTAATAATAATAATGGGTATATATCTATTTAAGTGAGAAACTGTGTCCATATTTGGCACAGATCAAATATGTGCAGGTAGTACCATGCTCTTGCATGGGCAATGTGCAGTTATGGCGAATATAAAACAACGACATATTCCTCGTCGGTGCGAGGAATATTAATGCTAAGCTTTCCTTGCTCGCAACACTGTGGACAACAGCTACTATTCATTTATTTCGGATGAGGTCAAAGTGTTCCATTTGGCCGAGAATCACTCCAAAAGAAATCATGGCCCATATCGTGGTGGCATGTCGCAATATATTCACACAACGATTAATTCAGCATGGACTCAGAAAAAACCGATATACATATTAAAACCGGTGTTTACTTATGTACTGTTTATTATTTACCGAAGCATTTCTGTGTGTACACGGGAGGGTGACTAAATGCGTTGACAAACAGGAGACCAGGAGCTTTCTGTGTTTTGGACTCATGCACCCTGCACGTCATCACACCTCATCCTTGTTTTCTCCTTCGTTCTTTCTCTCCTGTTTAGTGGATATCGTTTACGCCCTATCGAGCGATCCTGGTGTTCGGGCTTTCCACCAAGCTGGACGCAACAGTGAAACGGTGAGCCTATTTGCACCGATTCTTCTAAAGTCATTATTTTCTAAGTATTATATTTATTTATTCGGCACGATCAATTTACGCTAGGCAGGTTGCCACAACACGCGAGAAACAACAACAAAATGGAGAGAAACAGGAATTCAGTGGAAGGGTTAACTGAGTTTATATGTTGTGTGGGCAGACGAATTCCAGGTTGCCCACTCCGAGGAAGAGGATAGACTTAATTGACCCCACTTCGTGCATTTGATCATACAAACCTGACTTTCAATCCAGCGGGGTGATTCACGCAAATTGCTGAATACGAAGACCATTGACAGCCAGGTGGCTCATTTGCCTTCTTTTTTGTTCGGTAGCTATCCACAGAGAAGCCGGTGACCAGCACAGGTTGTTCATCTGACCTCCGTTGAATTCTCACCTTTGTTTGCAGAAGTAAGTGGTCAGTGACTCTATTATCCAGTCACATTGGCTTTGACACAGTGTCGTACGAACTCTTGCGCTATTTTATGGAAAACAAGGTGACCAGCCCAAAACTCCTCACACCCTGAAATGCTGCCGCTGATTGTCTGCTACTGCCTATTCATCTCGCCTGCAAAGCAAACGAAAATTATTCGCATTTACCTTCACAATGAAGGCATTCCGCTATCTGTAATTTGGGGAAGCGCGAGATAGCGTATAGCTCTGCCATGAATAATACTGATTCCCTGTATTTAAATTAGCAAGCACTCAATGCCGCGATATTTGGTTTTTCGCATCACATTCTCCCTCAGCAGTGGCTGTCCTCAGTTTCTTTGCTGCCACAAACGACTCTGATTATAAGGAATCAAGCACGATGGTCTGTCACCGTCACCCGTGGCCTATTGGCTTACGCCGATGTTGCCGAGAGGCTGTGCGTTCGGTTCATAGTGAAGTCAGGGAATTCGCGCTTTTGGAGTTTCCTTGCGACTGACAGGCTGTCTAGTACTTTCCAAGATTCGCAGCAAGATGTCTGATTGGAAGCCGGCTCTTACAGAATAACTACAATCATCAATTGATAGAATCCGACTGCTTCTCCGAAGGCAGTGTTCTCTGGCTGGTTCCTTGCCAGGCCTTCAAATGATACACACACAGCAGGGTTTCATGCTTGGTTGCTCATGCATCCCCAACCTGTTCGTGAGGAGGTATCAATGGTTATAGCTCCTACATACATTTCAGCATAGTATTTAACGACGTTGCTTATCACCGGCGATTTATCATCGCCACCGACTACGGATAGCGCCGTCCTTAATGCATTTTTTCGTGTCAGGCCAGTTTACTTCGTTCTTTACCTTGTCGACGTCGTTTTCTCCTATAAATATTTGTGTAATTCACTCACATTAGTGATTTGGAATTACTTCATCATAAATACGTGTACTAGTTTGTTGTATTTTCTGTGATTCTACCTTACGCTGATTTAGTCGTATTGATCGCTATCTACTTTTGAAATGGCAAAGCAGACACCTTGTGGTATTTGCTCCAAAGTCGTTGGACATCACGCAAATGCGATTACATGCAGTTTATGCAACGTAAAATTTCATGTTTCGTGTAGTGCTTTGTCTGTGGACCAATTTCGCGTAATTCAAGGCATACACGATGACGTTTTGAAAACCATTTGTAAGCAATGTCAGTCTAAGCTTGGGCAGAAAGGAGCCGAAAAACGTGGCAAGCGGATCAGTAGAGCAAAGTGCGCTGAAACGCGCAACTTGTTTTATCCTGCACCACAATCAGATAAACAGCCAACACCTAATACGGCTGCGAATCTATCCCTAAAGCAAAGTTCTAGCGCTCCGGCAAGATCGGCTTCAATACCTGCGATTTCTTCAGTTGACACTAAAGCTCTACTTTGCAATAAGCAAATTGGTGATAACGAGTGGATAAAGCAAATACCACAGAAATCACGAACAATGTAGAGTGACCTGAGGCACCGCAGCCTCATGGTCTTTCACGCACCTGAATCCTGTGATTCCAATCCTCAGGTGCGCTATGAACATGACGTTGATTTTTTGCAAACTCTGATTGAGAGACTGCTCGAGGTGGATGACGGCTGGCTTAAAGTGAGACCGATCGCTCGTTTCGGAGAGAGAGCCGAGGACAAAAATCAACCTATGTGGGTGACTTTTGTTGAGACAAGTCCTAAGTTACTATTGTCATGCCTTAATAGGCTGAAAGGTCTAAAGTTGACCTGTCAAACCACACTGGTTCGACAAGGAGTGCAGCAAACTGGCCCGACGACGACGCAGACTATGGAACAACTTCGTGTTATCTGGCTCTGACAAAATTACAAGGCGTACAAGGTACAGTGAAATCTCTGCAACAACTTGAACACAAACAAGGGCAGTAGCTTCGAAGGGCAGCTGGCAATCGCCGCAAAAACTGCGCTCAAGAGGATTTTCGCCTACTTGAAACGACGCCTGAGGCCTGCAGGCAATGTGCCAGTGTTGGAAGGCTCAGATGGACAGCCTCTAACCTCGAGTACAGATCGTGCGTCCGCGTTGGCGACGCACTTTGCTTCCGTATTTGCCAGTGACCAGGTGTCTGTAACGAGTTCGACGAGTACCGCTCCCGCTGAACTTGACAGTCTAGACTGCAGTATTGAAGATTTACGCATGCTTCTAGCAAATCTTGACGGGACGTAGCCTGCTGGGCCAAATGGAATCCCCCACTGATTCTCAAGTCCCTATCGGCCATCATCTTGTCTACTGTAACTGAGCTGTTCAACAGGTCGCTATCCACTGGACTATTACCGAGCGACTGGAAAGCTCAGTCGTAATGCCAATACCGAAAGTGGTGACCCAAGCAAAGTGGATAACTACCGGCCGATCTGCCTGACCGCTGTTTTGGCAAAGACGCTCGAGAAGATCGTGAAGAAGAGTCTTCTGCAGCTTCTCGAGTCGAAAAGCCTCCTGACGCCCGCACAGCATGGTTTCGTGAAATGTCGCTCCTGCATCACCAACCGACTGTTGACGAGGCACGAATGGTTGCAAGCGCTGAGCCAAGGCACATCAGTCGACGTCATTTACATTGACTTCAGTAAGGCTTTTGACAATTTAAATCATGCAGTACTCCTCAACAGGCTGAGGGTGTGCGGGGTTGGCGGCTCGCTGCACCGATGGATCATGAATGTCCTTGTTGATCGAAAGTGGAGGGTCCAAGTTGACGACCATTTGATTGACTGGTATCCATCGAGCAGTGGCGTGTCCCAAGGAACTGTATTGGGGCCGAGTTTGTTTCTGATCCATGTAAATGGTGTGCCTCAGCTACTCCAATCACCTTGTGTGTTGTTCGGAGATGACTAGATGTTGTGGGAAGTAATCCGCACACCCAATGATTGTGATTTGTTTCAGCAGGACCTCGACCGCCTCTCCACGCGGTTTGCAGACGTCAGCCTTCCGATCAACCCGGTCTAGTCGCAATTCATGAGGCTGGGTAAATATGAGCACAGTCGAACCTACACGGTGGCTGGTCAACCGTTGCATCCCGTGCCTTTCGTGCGCGACCTCGGTGTGCTGTCACACTATGACCTAAAGTCCATGGACAGCACGGATAGACTTTACCAGAACAGCCATCGTATGCTTTGGGCGCTCAGACGCAGCTTCAACGCTTGGTCCGAAGAGACTGTCACTCGCCTCTTCTTTCAATAACACGACCAATGCTAGAGTATGGCTCTCTCACGTATTGTCCTATCACCCAAGGTGAGATAGAAAAGATCGAACGAGTGCAGCATTGTAGCCAGCAGGCTAATTCCCAATTTATGAGGTGTGCCGTATGAAGACCGTTGTAAGAAACTATGGCTTTACATCATAACTTACTGTCGACTGCTGGTCGACCTCATCATGACGCACCGGCAATTACATCTGGATGGTTACCCCATCTTGAGGGCACTGCTTCATCTGCGCACACCAAGCAGCACACGAGGACACCGGCACAAGCTTGTCGTACCGGATTTGAAGCGGGTCGCTCACCAACTCTGTTTCGAAATGAAAATGTTGAATGTATAGAACGACCTGCCGCAGCACGTAGTTGAGGCAAATTCAGTACCGGAATTTACGATATTTCTTGCTGCTTCCAACACGTAATCAGTACTCAGTCATCATCATCATCTTCATTATCATATCATCCTCATCCATCCTCATCCTCATCATCGTCATCCTCATCATCCTTATCATATCGTCCTCATCGTCATCAACATCATCAGCATCAACCGTAAATCTTGATCATCACCGTTCATTGCCCCTCTGAACTACCCATTCTGAGTTGCTGACATTATTTGTTTCTTTCGTCACTACTCATTATCGTTAAGTAATCACTCCATCTCCTACTTTGCAATTTGTGACAGCTGTTCCGCATTGTGAAGTGTCGCCTGACGACGGAACATGTGTCGCCTGACGACGGAACATGTGTCGCGTTGCTTAGTATCTGTCTGGTCACTGGGCCTGTTTTCATCCCATCTCGTTTGTTAACCCCTTCGTAAAGAATGTGTAGAGAGATACACATGCTTGAAAGTTCATTTTCAAATGTTCACCATTGTACATATTCTCTCATTTGCATCATTGACAGTCAGCGGCCAGAATCTTTGCTCATCACATTAAGAAACCAATACACCAAAGTTCTTGGCTTTGTACCAAGGGTTTAATCTCTGCCGCTTTTGGATATGAGCATAAGTTCTAAGTCCTCGCCGGAAAGATGAGTCCTGAATTGGTCATCCCTTGCTTTCCCTGATGTGCAGTAACTCTGACATTATACTCGTGGCGAATCTGCTTTGAAAGAAAGTCGTCACTTGCACGACCTTGTCTCTAGACTAGCGTTCATTTATCATGTTCTTCTACATTTCAGTGTTGAGCGCTTACAAAAGCGATTTTTTGTTCTAAAACCTTCCAACTATCTAGTTATATTGCTCAGAAATTTCGATCCCTTTCTATCATCACTGCATTTGATTAGTGTTTTGTTTAACCCCTCATATCATGGTATAATAACCTGCAAATAAGCCGCTGAAAACGAGCTTTATTTTACTTTTGATGTCTTCTGATATTATTGATTTGTGTTGTTACAAGTAGGAGAAGGCAATATATGATAATGAAATTGTAAAAGACGATAGCACATTAGCGATTGTCTGGGCTATCCCTCCAAAAATTTGAAAATCACCATACACTGCTTCGAACTCCCACCGCGTTTGGTGTGGTATTGATCTGTCCGTATCGGTCAAGTGGGCCATCTATGCGCCAGGTGAAACAGACAATGAGGAGTTTGTCTGTCGTCACCTCTTTGTCCAACTGAGTTCAAAGACACCGGAATTAATTTACACAGTTCTTAATCGATTCAGTTAGGTCTTCGTTCTCTCTCCGAAGTTGATATCAAGCTATCTCTGTCGTTGTGTAGTACGCATGTGTACAATACAGGGCACAACATATGAGGAGATTATTTATCTGATCAGTGGGTTTGCACATAGTATGAACATGGACATGTGCCATGTGTGTGGGACGCAAGCTTACACAATCTTCCATCTCTATGTCGCCCGCATGTCTCACTCTTCCTATTCATTATTTGACGTCTATCTAAATGAGGAATTAAAGTTGCTCAAGCACACTAATATTCCCATTCAACGGCAGCTGGCCTGTTTGTGATTTCAGGGCGCCAAGAGTAGATAAGCCTACACAGTCAGCGATCGTGCCCATCCTTTGAGGCGTGCGTAAGCCGCAGGCCGACTGTAACCAAGTAAGATCTGTTGGCTTTAAGCACTGCGCTCGCACAACACCATCTGGGAAATGCGACATTACCGATTTCTATGCCCTCTGTGCTCCCACTTTTTAAAGCCTGGCTATTTAATGGAGGTTAGGATAAGTGAACTTATTTGTTGCAACTCGCATCGCCATAAAGATCACATGTGTTGTTTAGGGGGCAGACAGCTCATTGGTTTTCCAAGGTATGCGTTTTCTACATAATCAGCTGGTTCGATCGGGGTCTACATGTGATTGGACGGTCCGCGCCATTCTCTATCTCTTCCTACCCTCCCCTCTTCACGGTCCCTTGGCATGGTGTTGGTTAAGCTCCCTGAGGCTTCTCACCCGGCAAAGTGCAGTATTGACAATCGACGCGCAGTCCATTGGTACCCAGAAATAGCCGTTCATTCGATGCAATTTTTTTGTGATGGGAGCTGGTGATCTGGGGTCCAATGGACCGAAAGCCGTTAACACACTGCACACGCGAATTAACCACCATTGCATAGGACGGATGGACGAAACCGTATTGGTTCAGGCTGGCACGTACAAAGTGCCTGGTGACGACTCGCAGAGTATTCAAATCATTCTGAACCGTTTGACAATTTAAATATCCAGGTACGAAATATGCTTCGTCCACTCGAAGTCCAACATACTGCGGGCACCAACCAGTTTCCATGCTCACTCTTGAAGCTGCACAGTTTAAACGGATAGATTATCCGGGGAGCTACGTATCTGCTGTTGGTGCTATTAGAAGGGAAGTTTCTCTTCGCATTACGAAAATTTGGTTTGCGTTTGTCCACTTGAAACTCATTGTATCCATTCCAGCGGTGTTACTATATGGAAGTGAGTCCTAGTCAGTTCTCTCGGGTGGCATGCACTGGCTCTCAATTTCCACCGATGGCTGCCTGAGGAAAATTGCTCGTGTGCATTGACCACAACGTATCTGTCACGGTGAAGTCATACGCCGTGTTTTACTGTTTGATAGTATTCTCTACACCAAGCTGCTTTTTGCTGCATCAGCTTAAATGGCTCGATCGCGTCCTGCGTATGTTGTCTGAACATTTACCCCACCATAAATTGTTCTCTGTTGTAGGACTCGGTTAAAGGAGACCACACAGTGGTTAGCCGTCCATCTAGCGATCACATATAAAACCGTTGACTTCACGTTTATCCGCCGTAGATCCCGCGGTTCTGCCTGATTGGGAACGATAAGATCAGGAGTACCGACAGCTTGGAACACCCGAGGTTATGGCATGCAACTGAAACCGGTGGAACATTTGTGTACATAATTGTTTTGATTCAAATGTTTTGTATTTAAGAAAGACGAGCAACATGTGATAGCAGCGTGTGAAGAGGCGAACGGTGCTCCCTTTTGTCTTGTGCAAATTGTGCGTGTTATTCCCCTCTGGTTTCCGTGGTTTTGGATGACAACACACACACACACACACACACACATATATATATATATATATATATATATGGATTGGCGGCATCCGTGTCCGGATTTGCCTGTCACTGGTGCCTCCGCGGGCCAGCCACAGTACGTCTGCGCTTACAGAGGGACCATAAGTGGCTAGCGCTGCATCACCCACAGTTCCACCCAAACACTCCATCTCCGGTGTAAAACCGAAGGATTAAGACCGGTAGGCATGTGGATGGGAGCCAGGTTTCATCAACGGAGCCGGCCCACACTCCTTCCCAGGCAAACACAAGCACGCTTTATTTCGGAATCAGTCGCACACAAGGCGGTGGCTGGACCGTAGTCCGCTCGACAGTGCTTGCATGGAACCATTCTTCAAGCCTAGTACGGCCTCAAAGACGTGCACTCCGCCCCCTCCAACGACGACCAACTGTCTCCTGGAGCCAGTATGCACGAGGTAGTGGGTAATAGACAGGTAGACACCTTGTCAACATACACATCAAGCGCAGCCACACCGTGGATGTCAAGCAACAGCCAATCATTTGAAATAGCGTTATCAACTAAAATGTATCTGTTAAAGGGGACGGCTATGCAAACATAACCCTTCGCTACATTTTCCCATGAAGTAAGTTGATTAGCAATAAAACCGCGATAACTACAAAATGTCCACCTTACCTACTGAGTTTTAACCGGTAGTTTCCTCACTTATAGCGCACGTTTCCCTTCACTTTACTTTGTGGGATACTCGCCTCCCACCATTTCCCTATGCTGACCACTGTTCAAGAGTCCGTTTTCCTCCGCTCCCAACTTTCAGCCTCAAGTTAATACGAGAGCACAGTCTGTCCCCAATGCGGATAACTTTCCCACACCAACATTCCCTTGTGCTACGTCGTCTGCCGTGCCGAAGCCATGTTCACTCAACCTACAAGTGCCCATGCGTAATCATCCGCGTCTGATGACGCCCGTGATGGAACGGTCGGGCGAGAGTGGTTCCATTCTTTTTAGTGCTCAGACACCTGGCTCTTCTCCTTCGCCTATTCAAATTGATCAATGTTTCACCGGTCGTGTTATTCCAAGTCCGCATTTTGATATTCCCACCACACGACAAAGTCCCTCTCGGACCCAGGTTCCGTTTGAGTTCCTTCGAAAATCCAATTGCCACATTTCCGATACGTCCACATATGACGATGTAGCTTTTGTGTGAAAACGCCTGTTTTACATAACACTTTGCATTTACCCACTTCGATTACTTTTTATTAGCTGTTCAATCCCTCTACAATGAACTGGATTTTCTAATTTTCTCTCTGTGAGAGATTCTGTGGCTTCCGATAATCAGATCAATTTAGTTCGGCTTTTTGTCAAACGTATTGTCTCCATTCCGTTTACTAATTTGTTTTGTGCATTTTTTCTGCTCGCTTCAGGACAATCAATGTTTTGCTGACGCCTTCCATTCCACGCTTTACACAATATCGCCTTATCTTTGATTGGGTGATATTGTTGTTCCATTTCACCAAGTTGTTTACTGCTTGACCGAATGTCTTACGAATGTTTGCCAGCCCGTAGCCTAAAGGTATCGGAGCTTATCTTGTAATCTGACAGCGCAGGTCCGAGCTTGCATAGGAGCAGGACGACCGTCGCTCACGTGGGACGGTGGTGGTTACGTGGCAGCGAAGCTTCGGTACTGCGTACCGGAGTACTGCTGATGCCTTCCTTTCTTTTCTTTCTCTCCACTACTTCAAGTCACTTTCACCCATTGTGATCGAAGGTTTTAGCTTTAGACCTGGGATCTTGTTGATCGGTGAGGCTGGGTCCACTTTCAGCACAGCAGCATTAGCGGCTGAACTCTCCACCGAACTTGCTAATTTTGTTGCATTGCGTTGTTGAGATGCGTGTACTAGCGTAGCGTATTGGAGGCTCGACGGGCGAACATCATCATCATCATCATACACGTTAGCTAGAGGTGGGGAACACCTCAGCTACTGTGCCGCAATACACAGAAAAAAGGAGAGAAAAAAGAATTCAACTGTGGCAAGCCGGCTGAGCTACCGGTAACGGATGGGCATCGTTCCGGTAAGCTAACAGCCGGCTACTATGCATCAAAAAAATTACTATGCAAAATTATATAAGGCTAAATAATGAGATCGTGGTTGGAGGGGGAGGCTAAGAGGGATGGGGTGGGACAAAGAAACTCACAGCACGAACGCCACTGAAGTCAGCTCCTAGCCATGTCAGCAAGTGTGTCCAACCAAACGTGTTCATCGTCTTTCGGACCCCAACCAGGGAGCCGAGACGCTCCAACCGAGGCCAGCTCCGAAATGAGGGCCTTCATTCCTCTGGACCAAGTCATCGCTTGGCCACCCCTCCTCTTCTTCCATCCACACCCCCGGCGCGCAAACAACGCACGTCGCGGGAGTCGGTGGGCTGGCATGTGTAACACATGGCCGAGCCATCGGAGCCTGGTGCGTCAAATAACGGTGCTGAGCGGTTCAGTTCCTTTTCCTGTGCCATAAACAAGGCGTCGGACACGCTCGTTGCTCACGCGGTGTTCCTACCAGATGTGAGCTAAATTACGAAGGCACCGGTGGTCGAACGTAACTAGCCTCTTCAGGTCTGCTGCTTTAAGCGGCCAGGTTTCACAACCGTACAGTAGGGTCGAATGTACTGCTGCATTGTACACTCTACCCTTCAGGGCAAGAGTGATGTCGCGCCGGCGTCATAAGTGGCGAAGGTTAGCAAAAGCGCCCCGAGCTTTTGCTATACGATTCGTGATTTCATCTTCAATCCCACGGGTGCTGATACAACTTCCCAGGTAGTTGAATTTTTGAACGACTTCTAGCTGATCGCCACCAAGGGTCAGCGTAGGAGGCGGTCCAGACCAATCTTGGAGGAACGCTTTGCTCTTTGAGGTTGCGAATCAAAGCCCGAAGTGACGGACAGCTAGTGCTAATCTGTCCAGTGCCGCTTGGCACTTTTGTGAGCTGTCACAGATTAGGGCAATATCATCAGCATACTCTAAGTCAAGAAGTCGTTCTCCTGGGAGTAGCTCCACACCTTCTAAGTCGTGTCCTGTAAACGCGATTTCCATGACTTCGTCAACAGCGAAATTGAAGAGGAAAAGCGACAGCGGGCATCCTTGTCTCACGCCGCTGGAGATAATAAAGGACGACGGCAACTTGCCGTAAGCCCTCACTCTGCCCGTGCTACGAGCATATAATGCTCGGAGAATATTTACGTATTTCTCGGGCACACCTCTCCTGAGTAGACAGTCCCAAAATGCATGTCTATCCACCGAATCGAATGCACCTTTGATATCGAGGAACACGACAACGGTGGGCCGCCAATATATGTGACGGTGCTCCAACAACTGACGCAAGGTGAAGATGTGGTCAATGCAGCTACGACCTCGACGAAATCCAGCTTGCTCTTCACGAATCTGGCTTTCATGAGTGCCGGTCAGTCTGTGAAGGATGACAGAGGCAAGCAATTTGGAGGCGATGGAGATCAGACTGATTCCTCTTTGGCTGCCGCATTCCGATCGTGAGCTTCCCTTGAAAATTGGGACTATGACGGAGCGGCTCCAATTGGTTGGGACAGTTTCATGCTCCCACAGTTTGACTAGTAACTCGTGCAAGTCCTCCATAAGAGCAGGCCCCCCGAATTTGAAGAGGGCTGGAGGAAGATCATCAGGTCCCGCGGCTTTATTTAACTTCAACAGTCCGATCTCACGTTCGACTTCTGAGCGAGAGGGTGGATCCAAAGGGACAGCCCACGGAGCGGGGCGATCAGTGACCGGCGAATCGAACAATTCTTGCCGATTAAATTGCTTTTCAAAGTGCTCAGCCCAACGCTCCAAGCGTTTTGATAAGTTGTGGATAGGCTGTCCACTCTCGTCACGTATAGTTTCACTAACACCAGGTCTCCTGCTGCCCGTTTCCCTTATCAGACGGAATAACTTACGATGGTTACCAAGAGCAGCGGCCATTTCCATCTCTGTTGCACGATTAGACCACCAGGATTCGCAATTTCTCTTCAGGCTAGCACGGAGTTTTGCCCGGAGCTCTTTGCGAGTTTCATTGTGTTCGATTCCAGCCAGAATATGCCGGCGAGCACCGATAAGTTCCAGAGACTGTGAAGAGACCCAATGTCCATGTTGGCGACTAGACACACCACATGAGGATTTTCCTGCTGCTAGTAAGGTCTGGTGAATATGAGACCAGTGAGCTTCAATTGCATCCAGTGAGCGTTTATCCAACTCGGATGACGGCGTAATTTGATAGGCATTCAGAACAGCTGGCTTCGCCAGTTGGCTGGTGTCAATGCGCTCACAACGTCGTCTTGGGCGTCCGCCAAAACGCATCCGAATGTCAGCACATACAATTGCATGGTCGGTGTCCACAGCTGTGCTCCAAATCGAGCGACAGTTCTGGACGCAGCCTGTCCATCGGTAACTTATCGCAATGTGATCGATTTGCGTCCATAGCTGGTTCGAGGCTGGTGGGCGCCAAGTCACCCTCCGGCGGGTGCTGTGTCTGAAATTAGTGCTCGCAAGAAATAAGCGAGCATCTTCACACAAATGAAGTAACCCCTCACCGTTATCATTACGGGAGCCTATACCATATTGGCCGCCCAGATGCAGCTCATCTGTGGATAATTTTCCAACTTGAGCGTTCAGATCCCCGGTCAGCACTAAAGTGTCCGAGCTTCTTCTGTGGCGAAGGAATTGGGTCAGTTGGCGGTAGAAGTCGTCTTTTACCCAATCATCGCTACAGTTTGTCGGTGCATAGGCAGCGATAACGAATAGACACCTGTTAGTCCCGCGCGACTTCGAAGCTTTAAACGAGCCAGCCAATCGGACCGCACACATCCGGCTACTGATTGGAATCCAATCAACCAGAGTAGCTTCAGGCCGGGGACTCAGGGCAATACCAACACCGGCTTGGCTGGTGCTCGAAGCTGCATCGTCACCGGATAGGCGCAATGAGAAAGTGCTGCTAGTGTCACCTGAAGGGGATCGTAGAGTGATCACAGAGCTCGAGTCTTGCAGGTGGGTTTCCGATAAGCAGCAGATATCGATCGAGAGGGTCTCTAATGTTCGGGCAAGTGCTGCCTTTTGACCGATCTGAAGCAATGTGCGAACATTGAGTCATGCCAATCTGAAGGAGGATCGAGGGCTCCAAATAGAAGCCGATGAACTGGAATGGGCCGCTTGCTTGGACATGGGCCTGTTGACAGGGCAGGAATGACGCTCCGCGTTCACATGTGATTTGAAACTAAAAGGCAAGCGACTATTGAAGCAAGGTGGGGGAGGGCCGAGAATTGGGGGGTTGAAAACAGGGGGGATAAAAGTGAAGATGGAACGGGACGATACGGGTGAAAAAACGCAAGAGGGGGAATAAGAATACGGGAAGGCTTGAGCAGTCGCATCCAAACCCCTATCCACCCTGCCGGATGCAGCAGATAGGGCACCGTTGATTATCCTCTGCGGTGGCCAGAGTATCAGAAATTTGTTTGAAGTGAGATTCATTGTATTGCGTTGGCAGGATACTGTCAGGTTACCCAGGCCTAGACAGGAGAACGATTAGGGTTCTCAACCAAAGCCTTTGGTTCAAAAACCTGACCGCAAGGCAGCGGGTTTGGCACTGGGCTACAAGGAGTCCGTTTTAAGGAGTAAGGAGCCACCCTCATTCCAACCCCCAACCTGGAGGACCAGGAGGCTGAGTTTGTCTGGCCTCTAACCATTGACCAATCTGGTATGAGTGGCTCTGAAGGTGCAAAAATGCATTACCCAGTATAGCTCAATGGATCACAGAGGCACACAAACCATCGCACCACGGTAAGGTCCAGCCTCAGTGCGATGGGACGGGCGAACAACGGAACAATGGTGTATTATGGGTATAAAGAACAAATGCTTAGCAAGTCTCCTGGGATGACCAGAATTAGAACCACAAAATGGTGCATAGGAAACAAAGTAACAAAATGGAAATTTTTTAGTAGCTCTCTCACAATGTTCGCACAGAGGCATGCAGAAAAAAGCCAACTTCGAATGTGTAGTTTAGTAATGGTTTTATAATGTTCGTCACATTTTATCGTCAGTCTCTGTGCGCAGACTATATCTTGTAATGTAGGTTGATTAGGGCAACCTCAAAGCATTTTTTAAACCCAGCTAAATTGGTCGCAGAAACAGCGCAATTCGGGAGGGCGTTCCATGGCTGGCAGATACCAAAATAGTAAGTTTCACCGACGTTCTAGCCGATTATTACTTGGCCAACTTAAAGTGGTGGCCCCCAAATTTGTGTTGTGACTAACTTGCAGTAGGTGGCGACACACGTAGTTGGGATCCCACAAAATGTAAGCGATTATTAGGTCACCACCTAGGTGCCGATACTGACGTTAGTGCAACTTTGTAGCCCTCAGCATAAGTTGATATGGAAGGTGGAGCAACCCTTTGACGTGTTTGTTGACTTTTCGCTGCCAGGCTGGATCGCGTATTCCCCATGAGGCTGTACGTATGTTTTCAGGCACATAAGCCATCACTGACTTCATTTCCCGCTGCC